GAAGCCCAAGGCGGGACCCAATTAGCTCTGGCTCTCAACAGTCCCTGCAGCGCAGGAGGGGCGTCTGGGGGAGGTGCATGTTAGGGTCACCAGCTGGAAAACCGTGCAGAGTCCACTCTGCCTTTACGATAAATGCCCTGGTGGCCCAGGAAACGGGGATTTGTGAGAACTGATTCTACGGGAGAGAAAGATGGAGGGTCGAGGGTGGAGGGTGTGGGGTGTGGGCCTGCACTGAGAGAGGTTAGGATAGAGGGGATGACGGGACGAGAAATGGCCACAAGGTACAGGCCGGGACCTGTCACCGGGTGTAAAGCAGGGGAGGAACGGGGGGTGCTGCAGATTTTCTGGTTGAGGGGCTCCATGGTGGAGTCACAACCTAAGGGACAGGTCATTCCCGTGGGAGGCAGAGGGGGTGCCGGCAGGTGCCACTTGGATGTGGGGTAAGAGATACAAGCACAGGACACGGGACACGAAAGGAGAGCTGTCCAGGGACATGTGGGAGAGCACTGGGTGGAAGAGCTGGAATCCAGAAGTCGTGGGCTCCTGAGGAAGGGGGAAGAGAGTGGCCAGAGACCCAGGGCTGAGCAGGTGGGGAAAAGAAAGGGCAGAGATGGCATTTGCCCAGACACCAGCAGAGAAGGGACCGAGATGATCATAGGGACCTTCCTCCAGCCATGAAGGCAGCACTGGCCACCCAGAGGGACCGGGCGGCCGCCCAGAGTAACACCTTCATTTCCCAAATGAGGGAACTAGCCCAAGATGAGCTTAGCCAGAGTTAAAATTAACTGCCCTCCAATGTATACGGACATATGAGTATAGATATGTATTTTTCTGGTACCAGGGATTGAACCCAGGGGTGCTTAACCACTGAGCCAGGTCACACCCCCTTTTTATGTTTTATTTAGAGAACAGGGTCTCCCTGAATTGCTTAGGGCCTCACTAAGTTGCTGAGGCTGGCCTTGAACTTGTGATCCTCCTGCCTCAGCCTCCCGAAGTGCCGGGATGACAGGTGTGCACCACCGTGCCTCAGCTTAAATTTAAATCCCTACAGATTTATCTTTTACTGAGAAAGAGTTCAAAACACTGTGCTGGACACAGTTAAGGACTACTGCCAGGGAATTGCAAGTCTGACTTCCTGAAGTCAGAAGGCCAGGGGGAAATCACGATCACTCTTGTACTGTTTAAATTTTGTCACTGCTAACACTGATGCTCAAATAAGCCCGAGAGTTGCTCAATCTGTCCTTCATGTGCGGCTAACAGCAGAGTTGGGAGGACGATCCTCTGATCATCTACACACAGTGACACCGTGAATTTGGGGATCTCCCAGCCATGGAAACAGAGGGCACCAAGGGTACGTCTACACACAAGCGTCTGTCCTTCATCCGGCCCTGTCTCAGCAACTGAGGAGGAAAGTTGGAGAAAACTAGAGCCCTCTGCTTCCCTGAAGAATTTGCTCTACTTTGTTTCCTAATACCTCAACACATGTCAGAAGATGTGACATGTTTTGGCAGCATCCAAAAGAGTAACATATGCGGGAGTACCTAGCCCAGGGACGGGCACACGGTGTGGATTCAGGCAATGTTTGCTGGACTTGAAATTGGAACGCAGACACCACTCATTGGAAAGCAGAAGCTGGCTTTCCTGTAGTGGCTCCTTCAATCTGCACTCACCAAACGGGCAGCCAAGTGGGGCTTCCAAACTCAAGACGACTGGGAAAGCCTGGGATCCAAGCCCTTGGGGATATCTGTGTTCAGTGGGAGCCTGGCGGTGCTACGTGGGATCTCCATCTTGCCCAAGAGGCAGGCCGACCCCTCTGCAGTGTCAGGGCCAAAGTCTGGGTCTCCTGAGATCTCATTTAAAACACGGACTTGAAGCAAGTCAACTGAGAGGAAAGAGGCAACCAAAAGGCAGACATTAGAGGTGGGACAGGCTCCCAAGCCCAGAGATCCACATGGAACAAGAACAAAAAGAAAGATAAGGAACCTGCAGGGAAAAGTGATAATACAAAACAATATGACAGAGACATTTGAGGCAAGCTAAAACTCAGCTGATCAACAGCATGGTGGAGAGGAAGTCTACCGCACAAGTGTGAAATGAGTCCTTGTCAAAGCCATGAAGGGCCAAAGTCTCTTGCACAGCTGCTAGTGTGGTCACCAGGACTGTCATTTCACTAATACAATCTGCACATACATGCCAATAAGCCCCCCACTCCAACAAGACAGAAAACCCACAGCTAACATACTGAATGGCCACTGCTGTGCCATATTGTATGCTGACTGTCGCCAATACAATAAGACAAGAAAAAGAAAGCGTATTCACATTAGGATGGAAGAAGGAATGTGGACTTTATCTGCAAACATGATCCTACCCATAAAATACCTTAAGGAACCCACAAAACAACTGAGTTCAACAAAGTTGGCAGATACCACACGAGTATTCCAAAAGTCAACTCAATCAACTCTATTTTTGTACACGCGCGATGACAAACCCCAAAATGAAATTGAGAACACAATTTCATTCACAAGAATATATGATAGAATAAAACACTTGGGAATAATTATTCTTCTTTTTTTGGCACTAGAGATCGAACCCAGGGGCACTTTACCACTGAGCTAGCTACATCCCCAGTTCTCTTATAATTTTGAGACAGGTCTTGGGTCCCCTGAGTTGCTGAGATGACATGTACATCTCAGCACTGAGTCCCTTGGGAATAAATTTAAGAAAAGATGTATATACTGAAAGAACAAAACAGGGCTGAGAAAAACCAAGGGAGATCTAATAAAGAGGGAGATATCTGATATTCACAGACCCGGAAGATTCCAAATTGTTGAAAACAGCAATTCTTCCCCAAAGTAATCTGCAGATTCAACACAAATCCGATCAAAATCCCAACAGGCTTTTCCACAGACGTTGACAAACTGATCCTAAAATGCATATAGAAACGCAGAGGAATCAGAACAGCTACAACAATCTTGAAAAAGAACAAAGTCGGAGGCGTCACGCTTCCCAATTTTGAAACCACAAAGCTGCAATCGTCCTAACAGTGTGCGGCCGCCATAAGGACAGGCAGAGATCAATGGAACAGGATGGAAAGTCCAGAAATAAACCATTATTTTTACTCGATGGATGGTCACAATGATCCCAAAGTAATACAAGTGGGAAAAATAGTCTTTTCAAAAAATAGAGTCTGGGTCTGTGGCAGTGGCGGGGGACCGTGATGATTACCTAGCAACCGTGGAGGATGAGGGAGGAGGACTGCAAGTTCAAGGACAACCTGGGCAATTTTGTGAGACCCTATCAAAATAAAAATGGTAGAGCACTCCTGGGTTCAATCTCCACAAATGCTTAAAAAAATAAATAAGAAGATTTGGAGAAATAAGATAGGCAAAAAAGATGTGTTTTGATCAGAGTTGGGCAAGCTGGTATTGGAGCTGAGTTCTACCAGCATTTGATTTTGTAAATAAGCAGAGCCTTAGCCACACCCACAATTAACATATCACCTGGGTGGCTTCCACCGGCTACTGAAGGGGTGAATCATGACAGAGACCTCCAGTCTGCAAAACCTATAGTATTTCCTGTCCCATCCATTACAGGAAAATTTTGTCAGGCCCTGATTTAGAGCCTTACCTCTGAGCATACGGAAAAATTAACTCAAAACAGATCACAGACCTAAATATAATAGCCCAAACTACAAAACTCTTAGTAGAAAAAAATAGCAGGAGGAGCTGGGGCTCGGTGGCAGAGCACCTGCCCAGCATGTGTGAGACTCTGGGTTCCATCCTCAGCACCACATAAAAATAAACAAATAAAATAAAGGCATGCTATCCATCTACAACTACAAAAAAATAAAAAATTTAAATTTAAAAAAGTAGGAAATTTCCATGACCTTAGGTTAGCCAAAGATTTCTTAGATAACACCACCAAAAGTACAATCAATTTTTTTACAAGGTAAACTTGATCAAAATTATAAATATTTGCACTTCAACACCACTATGAGAATGAGAATACAAGCCACACATATTGGAAGAAAATATTTGCAAACCAGAATATTTGCAAATCAATAATAAAGGGTTTGCACCCATCACAAAGAAATCTTATAACTTAATAACAGAAAGACAAATAACCCGGTTAAAATCAGGCAAAAGCCCTGAATACACATTTCACCGAAGGAAACATATGGATCGCACCGAAGCACGTGAAAGATGCTCAGCATCATCCAGCAAATGCAAATTCAAACCACAGTGAAACGCCACTTCCCAGCCACTAGAATTGCTATAATTAAACAGACGATGCCAAGTGGTGCTGAGTGCAAACTTGAACCCTCACATATTGCTAGTAAAGATATAAAACGGTACAGCCACTTCAGCAAACAACTTGAAGTTTTTACTTCCACATGACTCCCCAGATTCCTGAACAGTGGCTTGGGAGGCTGAGGCACGAGGATTGCCAAGTTGGAGGCCAGCCTCAGCAACTGAGCAAGGCCCTAAGCAACTTAGCAAGAACCGGTCTGAAAACGAAAAATACACAGGAGTAGGGATGTGATCAGTGGTTAAACTCCCCTAGGTTCAATCCCTGATTTAAAAAGTAAATAAATAACACAACAAATCTCCTCCTAGGAGACATACCACCGATGTCATAGACCGATGCTCAAGACATACCACCGACGTCATCTTTTCAAAGAGGCATTATCCATCTCCTGTGTAACTCTGTCCATGTGCAAAAGTCACTTGTAAACATCATGTTCATAGCAGAAGCAATTCCAATGCCCATCAGCTGGGGGGTGACCGACTAACAAAATGCAGCGTGTAATCCACACAACAGGATCCTGTTCAGCAATAAATGTGCACCATCAATGAACCCACATCAAAAACAAGTGGTCCAGCACTTGCCTCGAGGGGAGGGGTTTCATCCCCAAGCACCACAAAAACAAAACAAAAACACCCCCCAAAAATTACGCTAAGTAAAAGAAGCCAGACGTACAAGATATACAATCCACTTACAGGAATTATCCAGATAAGGCTCATTCATACCGGCAGGAGGCTTTGGTGGTTCCCTGGGAATGGAAATGGAGAATGACTGGCACGAGGTCCCTTTTCAACTCTTGTCAGTGTTCTAAAAGTGGACTGGGGTGCCAGTGACCCAATTTTGTTAATTTACTAGAACATATTCAAGTGGATAAACTGCATGGTATGTAAACGTATCTCAATAAAGTTGTTTTTTAAGGGAAAAGGGAAATCAGCATCACCTAATGGAACGTTTGACGGCTCTGCTCCTGATTAAAGAACTGCAATGGAGCATCCAGGATGGTGTGTCCACAGCCCTGTCTGGCAAGCCAAGGCCACCAGTCTGGCCTCACCGCCCAGTAACCTCCTCCAGCAGTCTAGCCCCTGATGACGGCCACGCACACAGCCCTGAGTCTGAGAGCCTGAGTCTCCAGGTCCCCCACTCACTCACTGTGACCTGGGGTGACTTCTCTCACTTTGGAAATGGGGATCTCTCACCTAAGCTGGGGATCGGGGTTTCTCACAGGTCAGCATGCAAAACAATTCTTAGACTGCGGTGGGCACGGTGCTTAGCACAGAGTGAACACACACTCCTCACAAGGCTGGCTTAGGACTGCCCTGCATGTCACCTTCTCAGAGAGACACCCTTCTTGGTGGCCCCCTCTGCTGCGGTCCAAAATCAGCCTCAAAGGGGCAGTGAACTAAGACTAGGCCGAAGCAGCCCAGAGGCTGAGGAAGTCGGGTTCCCAGAAGGAGTGGAGCAGCAGGAAAGAAAGTGCATGGATAGGGGGAGAGGGGATGCAGGGCTGGGAGAAGGTCTAGTCACCAAGATGGCAGCTCACAGGGTGGAGAAGTAGCTGCACACAGGACATGCCTGCCGTGGGCCTTCCTGGATTGCAGGACCAGGTGAAGCGTACTGATCAAAACCACCTTTCCCTATTTTACACACGCTTGCTCTGGAAATTGGAGTTGAATATAATTGCAGCATTTTTGCATTCATTAAATTCCTTTTACCTTCCCTGGAATTAGGGCTTGAACTCCTATGTAAATTTATGCAAATAAGCATGCAAATGAACAAGGCCCTAGCACTTCATTTTCAAGGGACTAGAGCACTATCTAGGACCAGGACCTCAGGATTAAATGTAAGTGGTCCCTAAGAATATGTAATTTTCTCTGAAGGAGCCGGGGCAGAGAGTCCTCTTGGTCTCATTTGTTCACTCTGGGAATTGCTGCGTTGATCCATCGGAGGGTCTATTTTTTTTTAAGTCACCAGCCTAAAGACAAGGTGAACCCCTCAACCCTGGAGCAACTCTGCTTACCAAAAAAGGCCCCGTCTTCAGCCCCATAACATCCTCTCTCCCACGCTTCCTCTTTTGAATCGGGCAGATAAGCAGAAGCGAGGACATGGCTTTCCAGATGCGGGGCTGTGGCCCTCACTGTAGAGCTCTGTGCACAAGTCATGGCTTCTGATGAGTTTGCTCAACTGGAAAAGGAAGCCATCACCAAAGATCTTTCTAGTTTTAATAGTTAAGTGGGGCCCCAGCATCACTGTCCGGTCCAGCAGAGGTAATGCAACAAATTGTAAGGCTGCCCTTACGTGTATCCTGTGGGGGGAGGGGTGGATGCTCCATCTTTAAAGAGAACTCAGTTTGCAGAATCGTGAACCAAACTAAACGGTACCAAGGACATCTTTGGAAATTCTACTTCTGGCTCTGGCCTCTCAAGCGTTTCAAGGCGGCCACCACCTCCCCATTTCATCCCCACCACCAGCCAGGTCCTCAAAAAGACTTTATGCCACCTGGGCAGCACCAAATGTCCCTCAAGGCACCTCAAGTTTTCTAACCGCGTTTCCTTACATCTTCATCTCCTCCTGTCTCACACACACACATGCTTTTATAAAAAAAAAAATGGTGATTGAGGCTCAAAAGACAATGTGCTCATCCAAGGTACACACCTAAGAAGCCCAGAAATCAGACCTCTTTTTCTCAACATAGTTAATTCCCCTCCACGCAACTCTGTGCTTTTAACTTAAATTTGGTCCGTTTTGCTGTGTTCATTCATTGAACCACTGAACACTTACTAACCATCTGCTCTGTGCGATCCGCAGGTGTGGAGGAAGCGCAAGAGCAGTCCTACAAACAGCCCTGGGGCTCACCTACTTCAATCCCACCTCTTCCACTTGTTCACTAGGTGCCCTTGGATAAATCACTGCAGGTACCTCAGTCCTCCTACCTATAAAATGGGCGAACAGAATTCTAATTGTCTCATAGGTCAACTGAAAATTAAGCAATAACTTTAGAGGGCTTGGCACAAAACATGGCCTCCACCACATGCTGAGATCTGAGGGGGCTTTTATTATTCCTCTAGGTTCTGGGGATACAGTAATGAATCCCACATGAGCTTCATTCTCCAGGAGCTTACAGTCTAATGGGAACAGAGTAAAACAGATAATCCCAATCATCAGTGGTACTTTCAAACTGTAATGAAGACTAGGAAAAAAGCAAATGTATGCCAAATAGTAGTGGCACACATGTGTCATCCCAGCACGTCGGGAGGCTGAGGCAGGAGGATACCAAGGTGGAGGCCAGCCTCAGCAACTTGGCGAGACCCTGTCTCAAAATTTAAAAAAATATAATAATAATAAAAAGGGCTGGGGATGGGGCTCGGTGGTTAAGCACCCCTGGTTCAATCTCTGGAACCAAAATCATCATCCTCATCAAAATAATGTGTAACAGTAGTAGGAAGCTCCTTTACAGTCAGTCAGTGGTCAGAGAAGGATTCTTGGATCTGAGCTAGAAAAATGACAAGAGGCAGGAAAAAAGACAACAAGGGGGAAGAGAGAACAGACAAAACAGAGATGTTGTGCTTGACGGAAATTGATATCTTCCAGGAACAGGAGGTGTTGAGGCAGGTGAATAGGTGGAGGGAGTGGTGGGGGGTGAGGGGACCGACCTGGGATGGGGTCAGACAGGTCATCTGGCACTGGGGCAGCTTTTATAAACCCAAGTAAGGCATCTCCTCATCCTAAATGCTCTAGGCATCCACTGAAGACTTCTAAGCCAGGGGCAATGTATGTTAATTGACCTGCAACTTTTTTTTTATTTTGTTCAGAGACAGGGTCTCCCTGAGTGGCTTAGGGCCTTGCTAGGGGGTTGAGGCTGGCCTCCACCTTGCGATCCTCCAGCCTCAGCCTCCAGAGCCGCTGGGATGACAGGTGTGCGCCCTGGCGCCTGGCTGGATCTACAATGCTTAAAAGGGCTTCTTCGGCTGCCTGCTTGCGGGGGA